GCTATGTTCTTCACAGATAGTACTTCTAGCAGTTGCTATGTTCTTCACAGATAGTACTGTTCAAGGTTTGTGGCATGTACAGGAAGTTTGTTCAAGGCTAGTGGCATGTACAGGAAGTTTGTTCCAGGCTTGTGGCATGTACAGGAAGTTTGTTCAAGGTTTGTGGCATGTACAGGAAGTTTGTTCAAGGCTTGTGGCGTGTACAGGAAGTTTGTTCAAGGCTTGTGGCGTGTACAGGAAGTTTGTTCGAGGCTTGTGGCGTGTAAAGGAAGTTTGTTTAAGGCTTGTGGCGTGTACAGGAAGTTTGTTCAAGGCTTGTGGCGTGTAAAGGAAGTTTGTTTAAGGCTTGTGGCGTGTACAGGAAGTTTGTTCAAGGCTTGTGGCGTGTACAGGAAGTTTGTTCAAGGCTTGTGGCATGTACAGGAAGTTACACAGTAGTTACACACAAGGTAATATTGGGCAGAAAGGTAAGTAGCTATTTGAAATAACATTTCCCTTATCTGAAAAATGTAACTGTAAGGACAACAAGGGACCTCTTGGTCCATTTAGGCTGTCCCATCCACCAAAGCTAACTTTAAAAAAATCTCAAAGGCCAACCACCCTGTTATATAAATAACTATCTTAGCTGAAGACGACTCCGAACCTGCCAAAATTTATATTTGTGTCCCCTAATCTTGTTATTGTCACCATTAAGTACAAAAAAGGTGATGAATCAACACTATCAGTTCTGTTTACAACCTTAAACCCCTCAATTAGATTCTCTTCTTTTCTCAAGAGAAAACTATTTCAGAGAACATAATCTGTCCTCGTATGACACTTCCATCCCAGGTATCATCCTAGTAGTCCTCCTCCAAACCCTTTCCAACAATTCAATGTCTTTTTTTTTTAAAGTAAGAAGCCCAAAACTAAACACACTACTCCAAGTGTGACTTAATCAGTGACCTATACAATGAAACTGTAACCTCTTTAGACTTGTCTTCAGTATTTCTGTAGATATAACATAAAATCATATTTGCCCTAGCAACAAGCACACTGCTTGGATGGCTTCTGAGACTGATCAGTCAGAACACTAAGACCCTTTTATTCCCATAACACAGTTAAGATTATTCCCATTGAAATAAAAATTAACCTCATAATGAGTTTGGCTAGTTATATGCACTTTTCTTACATTTCGACTTATAAAGATTAGAATGATTTATTTTATCTGTTGTTATTATAATCCACATCCATTAAGTTGTTTTTATTATAATTAAAATGGCCCGGCATGGCCAAGTGGTTAAGGCGCTCGACTCGCAATGTGTGGGTTGCGGGTTCGAATCCCCCTCACGCCAAACATGCTCGCCCTTTCAGCCGTCAGGGCATTATAATGTGATGGTCAATCCTATTAATCATTGGTAAAAGAGTAGCCCAAGAGTTGGTGGTGGGTGGTGATGACTAGCTGCCTTCCCTCTAGTCTTACACTGCTAAATTAGAGACGGCTAGCACAGATAGCCCTCGTGTAGCTTTGCGCGAAATCCATAACATATATACATTATAATTAAAAGTCATCTGTCATTTATTAATCCAACTCGCCAAACAATCAATCCTTTTATATAAAAAACAGCAGCAGTATCCTTTTAGCCAGTAACACCCAAGGACCTTAGATATCATCAGCAGATTTAAACAATTTATTGACTATTTTTTCATCTGTAATTGACATAAATCAAAACAAGCAAAGGTCTTAACGCTGAGCCCCACTCGAGACATTAATCCAGTTTGACTTAATTTATAATAACTCTCTGCTTTCTTATATCCAGCCAGTTTTTCTATCTGATCAGTCAGCTTATGAAGATCAATTGGTTAAAAAAAAAAGTCTTCTATAAGTGGCATCTTTGTCAAATGCTTTCTGAAAATCCAGATACATCAAATTCACGCCCTTATCCTCATCTACACAAGCAGTAACCTCTTCAAAAAATGCTAAAAGATTAGTAAGGCCAGATTTACCTGTAGTGAAACCAAGTTATTTTGCAAAGCATCTTTTTTATGAGACTTTTGAAAACTATCACATCACTGATATAAGGCTACAAAGCCTATAATTCCCTTAACCTTGAAAACTGAGGAGTGACATTAGCCAACTTCAAATCTTCTGGCACCTGCCCACTATTCAAGGACTTACAAAAAAATATTAACAAGTGACTCGCATATCCGATCATTAAGATCCTTTAAAACCCTTGGGGAAATATTAAACGTGAAACAGTATTTATTCACAAGGTGTGAGACTGGCAAAGCTTTAATGTAGATGTTTTAAATCTTAGCAAATTACAGCTTGAGTTGAGGGCCAACTATCATGATTTTGACATTTATATTACTTCAGTTTGGCATTCAGTAGTATGTAATTTTTTGTTACTTTTTTTTGCAGAAATATGGATCCACTAAATATATATACCACAATGCATCAATGAAGACGTACGATAATACGATGTGCTGATATAAGTTGTCATTTTTTTTAATGAATCATTTCTTCCAAACGAACTTGTACAGTAGAATCTTATTAACTAGAATTAAAACAGCAATGATGTTTTAATGTCTTCATTGATCAGAGTGGGTTAGGTCTGGCCTAGTGGTTAGCATGCCCATGGTTCGTGATTCTCAACCATTTGCTGTAAAACATGCTCTATGCTCTGAATTTTGGGGCCGAGTGTACTATAAGAATGACAGTCAAATCTCACTATTTGATCAGACAAGGGCAGCCCAAGAGTTAGTGGTTGGTGCTGTTGACTAGCTGTCGTATCTGTCAGTTGTAAATTAGGGATGGCTATATGCAGGTTGCCCTCATCTGGCTTTGCACCAAGTTCTGAAATAAGCAAATAAAGTTTAAGGAGTTCTGGTCACTTAGCTGTCTTTTTAGCTGTGCAGAGTGTAGAGACTAAAGATTTATAAAGCCAGGTCATAGGTCAGCTGGGCTAGCATACAGTGTTGTCCATTAAATATTAAACTAAATCATAGTGAAGAAATGCTTAAGTTAATGTACTTTACTTTTAGAAGCTAGAGATGTGTGTGTGTGCGAGTGCTTATTGAGAAGTGATTGTCCAAAATGTAACAGAAGGAACTGCAGATAATATATCATTGCTTGGCTGATTTCTGTAGGTAACATTGATTAAAAACTAATTTTATCTTTGCAACATGATAAATAGTATCTGTACTAAATATAGTTTTACAGAATAAGTCTGTAATTTATTTTTTAATATACACATACAAAGACAATTAAACCAGCTTTCCTTTGAAGGCAATTGTTTAAAAAAAAATTAAACAAAACAAGAGCTGTGCAAAACACACATTTATTTCATCAACTACAAATTGTATTATTCTTAAATAAATCGACAAATGTTTTAGGAAGTTACGAATATGGTGTCTGTATTTCTAAGCCTTTTCAATACCAAGGATCGCTTTGTAAACTGTTGCAGACCACTAAACTGTAAATACAACGAAAAACCATTACAATTTATTTGTGAATATTCTCCAAGTTTTTGTTCTTGTGAAATCCCCAGACCGGCAAGGCAGATGTGACGGAGCATCACGGGTCGTAGACCGGTGGTTTAGAAACACTGGGTTAGATAAATGTCACCAGTTTCAGGATGTGAAGGTTCTAAGCAAGTGTGCATACGTCCACAAAGGTATACACACCAACTTCACCGGCAAGAGTAGGAATTTAGGCCTACAGTTCTAAAGAGCCTCCAATAATGTAGTATAAAAATATTGAAGAGATAATGTATGGACATTTCTTTTCTTGAACACTTGATGGATACAATCAAAATAAATAATTTAAATATACCACGGTTTATGATCACCGTTATATGTAACAATGCATTTAATTCATAATTGTGTGGGGGTCTCCCCCTCAGTTTTACTACTTCCAATGCCAGATACCGAGCACTGTTGTTTGATTTACCATAGATATTTCAGTTATGCTAAACCGATTGTAAAGTTTCTCCATCTGAACATGACTTAGTGAAACAGCTGTGTTGTTTTTCCAATCTACACTCACATGCTACTTATTTTATGTATTGTATTATTAATGATGTGCATTTTTGAGACCCTTCAAAAGAAAATAAAATAGAGAGGCTGCAGCTCCTAAAGCCCCCGCATTAATTTTGCCAATGCAACTACAATTACAGTGCATGCATGAACTTTACCACAGTTCAGAATTTTCAAACTGAACCATTTTATTTTTTTTTAAACTTGCTAATTCAAAGTTTCATTGGCAAGAACCAAAGTTTAAAGTATTTTAGTAGAAAATTCAACTTAGTAATTTTAAAAGGTAGTATGGGGTTTAGGTTTATTGTGTCGGGTTAGTGCTTTCATTGCCCGACACATTTCTAGATAGACGTGCAAGTTCCAGGTTTATTTTTGGATACTCATGGAAACACGTTACACGATTTCACCTTGCTTATTACTTGCAATAACAACACAAAATGTTCGTAGGGTTAATTTCCCTAAATATTTCACAGATAATAGTACTTCTCACAATCAATCAATCGGTTCACCACTCCTCAGAGTTATACCAGTTTTGTGGAATTCCATCTGATTAGAAATCCCGATTGATCAAAAGAACAATACTAGGCTTCTTATAGTTGTTGAGCATATATTAAAATTAGTTGTAGATTTATTTGGAAATCAACAATCTACGTTTATGATTTTTAATATTAACTATAAAGAAAATTTCTGTACTTATTTTCCGAGAACATTTTTCTTATCATAAAAAAGGCTATATAAGATAATGAAACTGATAAACTTTTGAATGTTATTATTAAGTCTAATTTCACTTATGTCTGATGTTTGTGCTGTAAAAACTTATAAATCGTTTTGATATTTAATGTACTACTCTCTCTCTCTCTCACTCTCTAGACTATGACACCATGTCACACTGCCTGGCACTGGACCAGACTGAAATGTCGTTACTCGCAATGAAACTCTTTGCTCCCATCTGCTCCAGCGATGCAAACACAAGACGTGATGCACTGGAGTTCTTGGATGATGGCTTGAAGGCTTGGAGTAATGGTAAAATTCCAGTTCAAGTGACGTCAAAGCTTCACTTGAAACAAGGAGATCCTGAGGATGAAAAACTACTTTCCTCGTTAAGTTTGCAGAGTTGTCTGCCGTTCTTGCTCATGTGGGCTAATCAATGTCCCTTTAGTGATGTTAGGGAGAAGTTGTCTGAAAGTCTGATGACACTGAAGGTAATTTGTTACAAAATTGAGATTTTTTTTTTCTGGCTTGCTGATTAGATACATAATTGATTGATATAGTTTTATCAAAGCATCCAGTTAGCACATTTTTTGTATATGTTGTTTCAAGTTGTATAGCAGACACAATTCTTACCACTGTTAACTCATTGTTTGGTAGTATTCTCATTATGAAAACATTGTTTGATGTCATAGTTTAACATGTTTGTTTGAATAGTTTTTGTGATTGTGTAGTGGAACAACCACTCTGTTATATCATTCGTGTACACTATTACCTTGTTTCCCCCAGTCCACCGACATTTAAGTTCACTTCCAGAATTTATTTCTAACATTCCTTGAAATTGGAAATGAATTATTATTATTGCCATAAGGAGCTTGCAAAAAAGTAGAATGAATTTAAGACATAGAAAATATCTGTATATAATTTCATTTCTTTAAAGTTTTAATTTTATTTTATTTTGAGCACTGACAACTATGTTATATAAATATAATATGTATTTCCATCATGTTATTTTGATATAGTATTATTCTGAATTTATTATTTATTCTAAAATGTGTAGTTTTCACAATATGTGGTCAAATTGATTCTGTTCTAGCTACTGTTGTTCCTTGTCACACCTGTTCTGCCCATGGGAGGTATGGCTATAATGCTGCACTGTGCAAGAATTTTGAGAGCTATTGTCCTTCAATGGTAGTTCAGGTGGTATCTCGAGGTTTTGGCCTCCCCTATTCTCAAATTAGAATAACCAGTCAGATTGATAGCACTAGTTGTTCGGGTAAAGTTGAAGTTTCCTGGAAGTAAGGAACATTGACTTAAACAGTATGGTAGGTGAATTTGTACCTGATCAATTGAAGCTGTCCAGTAAAAGTGACCATGTGGTGTTTAATAGCAACAATTACACACACTTAGTGATTTAATAAAAAAATTTCATTTTGTGCATTTTACTTTGTGTCTAGTCTCTTTCTTTCTCAAACTCTGTCAAAGTCAGAGAACTCAGAATTAGTTTGTAAAAAATATCTTGGGGAACCTCCTGTTATTAGAAGGACCTATCCTATTGCTCTAAGGTTAACTCACTTTTACATGAACATACCACACAACTTATCCTCATTTGTATAATTTATGACTGACATCAGTGTGGTAACAAATAGCAATTTGAAAGTGAGCTGGAGTAGCTGTGTGTGTGTGTGAAATTATTACTTTTTTATGCTAATTTAACATTAGTTTTCTGTAGTTACTTGTCTGTAGGTGAACTCACTTGCACATTTCACTATTTTTTGATTTACAACCACACTAGCTTTAGAGAAATATATTTAATTGTCAGAATACTGTTGAAACAATTCTACAGGAAATTTTCCTGAAAATTGTGATGAATAAATATAAAATGTGTAGTCAACCCAATCCCTTGGATCAGAGCGTAAATGCAATATGATTGTCTAGTGGTCCAATTAAAACCCTCTTTTGTCATTCCATCTGTTTTTTCAATAAGGAAAATTGTATTGCATTTATCTTAAAGCAACGGAGACTGGGTGCAACGTATTGTTAACAAAAATGTTTTTATTTTGATGCAATGGGTGCATCTAGCACAGAGCGCCCAGGTTCCCTAAGTAGCTGCAGGGATTTTTTTCCTTTTCCCCCCAGCTGGTTGACACCATTCTTTATCATTCTACTGAGCACAAGAAAATACTGCTACTGAAGTGAGTACTTTTTGAGAGTTTTCTATATGAAGTATTAGAGGGGAGATATTCAATATATTTAACATGGTGCAGTAATATCATGCATGTACATAATACAGACATGAAAAATTATATATGTCAAACAAGAACAAAGTATGTCCTCAAAAATATTCCTCTGTTTATGTATTTTTTTTCCATTCATGCTCCTATCTTCGAAATATTTCTTTCAATCAGTTGGAGGAGGAAGTCCTGTTTTTTTTGTTAAATATCCTCATAAAAAGAAACTTTTTTCCTCAGATTGACCTTTCAGCACATACGAAGACTAACAGATCAATGTTGATACCACTATGAAATTTTAGGAGTTGCAAAAAATGAATACTTTTCCTGTGATGTACTTTTGAAAAGAAACATCTGATATATAGTATTTCCTACAATTTACTGTTCATGAGGTACAGAGCACGGCAGACAGACAATTGGCTGTTGTATATATATATAGGAACTTCTGCATTTTGGACTTACCAGCCCCGAGATGTATTGGTAGTTAGCCAAAATAATATTTGGACCCCATGGAACTCTGTAATGTATAATATTACTGAACCTCAAAACTTCATTGGGTTGTATTAAAACTTTAAAATAGTCACGTGACTTGCTATTTGTAATAGTATTGTCATTGAAGAAAATCAGTAATGTGTGTTTATAATAAGTAAAAAAAATAAAATCAGCCAAGGCGGCAGTAGAAATTTATCAGTAACTTCTGATCAAAGCAAGAGTTTGGAATGCCATTGAACAAACAAGAAACTGAATGATTATAATGTAGATTCATTAGTTGGGTATCTTCTCTGTTATCGACGTTTTCGGCCGTAATCCCAGAAATACTTCCCAAGGTTTGAAATCCCCCATCTAGCAAGTAGACTTGTAAATAAACATAAAATGTCACTGCGTTTGTGTCTGCGTTAAATCGTCTAAAATATAAACATGGGAAGAATATGTTAATAAAATCTAACTCTTCCAGGGTTAAAAAGGCGATGTCTAATTAGTTGGTAATAGTTTTATCTCAAAACATCAAAAAATATATATCTGTTTCCTGCGTGGAGGTGGTTGTACACGGCCACCTGGTGGCTGTTTTTTTTTATTTTAATTTAAACAAAACTAAGATAAAATTACTTCATCATTATTGGAAGAAGTTAAAATAAGTTAACAATGTAGGTTTTCACACCATTTATTATTATTGAAAATATATTGTTCACTTGTATCTAGACTTTAAGAAACTATATCTGTTGAGTAGATTCGACTTCTTGCAAATGTCGAGTTTAAAGTGTTTAACGAAATACTAATAATACATCAAACGCAACAGTAAGATAAACAAGGGTAATTGTCCAGTTGAGTGGTATTGTAGCGAGTGCAACGACTGACAATTTATTTTTTTACCTATTTTAGTCTTATTTCATATCGTCTTGAGCCTCATGCTGCAGAAATAATCATTTCTTACCGAATTAACGTTATAGTTCGGCTGGTTACCAATTCGTACGTCAATGGCGCTTTAGTCAATAATAAACAAAAACGCGTGGAAATCTTTACGTGTTGCATAAACGATTTTACTAATACGTGGACTATTAACAATATAAACAATAACTTAAGACATCGCAATCTCAATAAAAAAATGTGTTTGACTTGATTTTAAAGAATGGTCTTAATTAGAAGTATTACCGTTTCTCTCGGGACAGACACACGGTTGATTCAAAACTTGAATATTACGTTTCTCCGTAGGTCAGAGGTTCTCAAACTTACTTTCCAGGCCCCCTTTGAAAATATTTCAGGCTGTGACGACCCCTCCCTCTACACACACACACACACACACGCAGTGATAACAAATTACTGCACACACTCGAAAATATCAGTTATCGAAGTTTTCTTTTATGATTCCGCCACCCCCCCCCCCTTTCGGGTTGGTACCCTAGTTTGAGAAACGCTGCTGTGGATGATTATTTGAAGTATGCCTGGCCAGATTAAGTTCATTTCTATCAGCCATTAAAAAAGAAAAAGTCATGCCAATAATTTCTCCATTACCGTTACAAGTTGTTACAACTTTAGTTACTACGTGGAAGGTTCCAGAAACTCGGGGAATTATAGCGTACGTCCATCTTGAGTGCTCTTTGTATGTAGTTTACCATATGGGCCCGAGGTACCATATGGGCGAAATAATTGCTTTTCTTAGAACGTTCAGAGGGAGGGGCAGAAAAAGTGTAGTATTTATTACCAAAGGAAATTAGATTCATTTAGCGTGGACACATATTTTCAAGATGGGTTCAAGTCCTACCCGAGGCTTGGCCAGCCATCCGATTTTCAACGAGGGATGATTATGTTATGCCCTTTAAAGTTAAATTGTATTTCAAAAGATTGGCCGATATTTCATTCATCGCACTAAAGAAAGGGAATATATTAAACTCGTTCCACTAAATAAAGAAAGGGAATATATTAAACTCGTTCCACTAAATAAAGAAAGGGAATATATTAAACTCGTTCCACTAAATAAAGAAAGGGAATATATTTCAAACTCGTTCCACTAAATATTTCGTTTATTTTTTGAATTTGTCAAATTACAAATGCGGGTGTGTTTTTATAGTAAAGCCACTTCTAGCTATCTGCTGTGTCCACCGAAGGGAATCGAACCCTTGATCTTAGCGTTATAAATCCGTAGACATACTGCTGTCCCAACAGAGGGGACACCTACAAATGCTTGGCGAGCATCATTTGTTTGCAGGCCTAAGTTTCGTTTAATACTAGAGAATACAGAAACCGACTTCTTCCTCCAGATGAAGTTTGTTTTTAGTTCTCACTGTATCGCCATACGCCTTCTTCAGAAACTATCTACAGGATGAATACCATTTTTAGATTTTTTAAAATAGAACTACTGGAGCCTATGGTAGATGGCGTGTCGCACGAGTGCAGCTTCGTCTTCAATAGTTATGAATAATAAACTCCTCCCTCTATAAGGGCCGGATGTGACTTAGAGGTTAGCGTGTCGTAATGCGTATCATAAAGTCCGGGGTTCGAGACGTGATACTGCTGAACACGCTGCACACTTTCAACCACTTTCAAAGAGACAGTTGAAGCTCTCGTGTTGGCGGAGGCGGTTGCCTTCCCTTCGATCGATTGGTTAAAATTAAGGACGACTATATCTGAACGTTAGAGGTCTCTGACTGGATCATTTAACACAAATATGTATGAAGTGCCGTTGGGGTTGAATATTCAAATTCCTTTTTTTTGTACAGTTTGTGTATAAAATTCCAGTTTATTGATCCTGTATCGTAAATGCGACC